TAACTAACGTAAACGAAACGTAACTAACTAACCTAACCGTAACCTAACGTACGTACGTACTTACTTTAACTTACTACTACACTAGTACTCTCTCTCTCTCTCTCTCTCTCTCTCTCTCTCTCTCTCTCTCTCTCTCTCTCTCTCTCAAAAGCTGTGATTTCTGTCATGAAAGTCTCTTTCAAGTTCTCTGAAACTATGGTTTCTGTCATAACGGTGCTAGTTATCAGAACGTGGGACTCAGTATTATAAGCCTCTGAAGATGATAGCGAAAAAAAAAAAAAGAGGAGACTACCTAGTAGAGACATTGTGATCACCATGATCACGCTCCTAACTAAACTAACAATTCCAACAGGAACTCTCCCTACTGGAAAAGAAGAAACCAAGAACAGCACAAAGACACTAACCAAAATAAGAGAGATTGAGTAAATAAAACAAGGAGATCAAGTAAAGAGAAACTGAAGTAGTGGAACTTACCAGGGACTTTGGGAAGATGTCAGAAAGCAGTTTCTTGTAGCGTTTAACAGGCTGCCGAGATCTAGACCTCAAAGCAGGGCAGCAAACGCATATACTTCCACATACAGGAAAAACCCTTCTCGAAATGAACCCCATCTCCCTGTAAAATTTATCAGAGAAGAAAACCCACCTTCATGCATCCAAATTCCAAAGAAAAACGATCAGAAAACTAACTGGCACTGTAAAAACTGAAACAAAACCCAAAATTTTATACCCACTAAAAACGATCAAAACACAACAAAGAGGCCAAAGAAACAAAACCCAACTCAAGAAAGCAAATTGGCGCTGTAAAAACTCAAAAAAACAACAGCCAGATTCTTATAACCAGCAACAACGATAGAAAGAAAGAAGAAAAAAATGGCATTTTAAACCAAAAACCCAACAAAACAGAGCGAACCCAAACACAGACCTTCAAGATAAAAAACTCTCGGCGAACATACTCTGAAACCCAGATCGGGAAACCCCCCAGCAAAACAAAAGAAAGAGAAGGGGGGGCAGAATTTCCACGAGAGAAGTCAGTCTTACGAGAGAGATGGCGAAAAAAGAGAATGTGGGTTTTCGAGAGAGAGAAAGAAAGATGGAATTTCCGTGAGAGGGAAAGGAGTGTGGGTAGAGAGATGGTGAATGGCGGAATTTAGAGTTCCTAGAGAGAGAGAGAAAGCAAGACCGATCACGTGACAAAGGCACACTGCGAGTACCGACTACAGTGAACAAGACTGCCATGTCAGGGTCATCCCAGCTTTAATGAAGCTTTTGGGGGAATTCAAAATCAATTGCTTTTTAAGTGGCGCCCCAAAAAAGTAGTAGCAATATACATAAACAATTATAGAGCGAGAAAGAGGAGAGATAAATGAATGGTACGTTTTATTCGGACAGGATGAGTGAGAAAATAATAGGGGATTCCAGAGAGGATGATCATGCGTCTATTTCTCTCTCTCTCTCTCTCAGTTGCTATTTCTCTCACTCATTTATTACGCATGCGTGCTTCCTGTTCTCCACTCTCTCTCTCTAAGAAGTGACTCATTTATTACGCATGCGTGCTTCCTGTTTTCTCTCTCTAAATTGCAAAGTGATCCGCGGTCAGTCAAAATTCACAAATTGCACAATTTTGTGTTATTTTTCGCGGGATACCACCCTTTTGTCATGGATACAGCTGGAACAACTTTGAGTTCTAAGTATTACGAACCTGCCCCTTGCTTCTCGTTTTTTTTTTTTTGTGCTCCCTAACCTAAATGACTAGTTTATATAAGGTGAATTATTGAAATACAATGTAACTCAAAAATTCCCAAGAGAAAGGTTGTTGCAATGTTAAAAATCTCTCTAAATAATCATCTCTATCTCAAAATATATAGATTTGAGGGAAAAAAAAGTATGCAAGTCGTAAAAATAATTCATCTTGTAATTATCTTTACTGTAATTAAATATTTAATTATTTATAAAATTATTTGATCTTTATATATAATGATACGATTTACCTTTAGTACAAGGTGGTGGCAATTAGTCTTGACCACTAAATGTGAAATTCGATGATTGCATTTATTTCATTAATCGAGCACAAAGTTCAAAATAATTTTTTTCGAATTTTATGACACAATCAAACTATCAAATTTTACATTAGATAGTCACAAGTAATTGTGACCTCTTTATACCAAAAGTAAATGGTCTCGTTGTATATTATTCTTAAATTTAAAATAAATGATCTCATTATATATTATTTTTAAATTTATTATTAAAAGTACAGAAAGATTTTCATGTCATTACAAAATTTTTTAACACCAACATTACATATTTTAATATAATTTTAAGATATCCCTCACTTGAATCGTATAAGGTTGACACCTGAGACAAATTTCACCCCTCACCAAAATCTCTTCAAAGGACCCTGAATACTTATACTTTTATCATATCGTGCTCCAGTTATGGGCATGGAGACAAAAAGAAGAACGGATTCTTGCATTTCATATGAAACCTACACACGTAAGCACGATGTGAATGTTTATCACTACCGTTTGCAATCCTGTTGAATCTTAACCAAATTATATTAGGGAAATGGTTTGATAAGGCTGCAAAATAACTAAAACGCTCACTTCGTAACTCATCGAAAATTGCAAGTTAAGCATTGGAAAATTTTCTTTGATCATCTCAACTTGAACATTATGGTTGTAAAAAAAATTAATATTTCAAGTTTTAAAAAATAATGCATATTGTAACAAATTATCTAGTCTGTCTATTTTTTAAAAAAAATAAATGTTCATAAATCTGTAAGATCTGTACTATTTTTTTAGTTTCATATTTTATTGACGTTTTTTAAAATTTATTTTAGAGGCATCGTAGAGATTTCTATCGCTGAAAGTAATTTCCGGATGAGGATTTGAGGTGAGGCTTTATTTGGTTTTCATAAAGCCTATGCCGTATAGAAACCTTATCCATCATGTTATAAAGACATAGACGCATGTATCAAAAATATCTTATATAAATGTGAGTGTCTAAAAATATCAAAATCAGCATTCTAGACATGACATATCTATACTGCTAGAACATGGGAGCACTTGGGAGTTTTTAGATAGCATTAACTACTGTTATTTTATGATTTCAATAATAAAGGTTAAAAATAAGTATTTAGTTTTTCGAAGATCAAGACAATGGTGTCTTGCACGTATCCATGTTACATCATCATTTTAGTGTTTTTTTAATTAATTGAAGTCGGCTATCATCATCATCAAAACATTTTCTCAATTAATTGATGTTAGCTAGTATCCATACTACATCGATTGTCAAAATTCCAAAATAGTTGGTTGATAGTGGGTATCGGCCACTGTCTTTATTAAGAGGAAATCAAATGGCCTAAGTCCTAACAATATTGTATCTTGCAACACATTATGCGGACCATCCATTTTCAAGATTATCAAGTATTTATAGATCTACTTAATTTGAACTATTTTTGAAATTTAAGATTTTATAATTAAAGATGAAAATAGATTCTCAAGCCATCTTAAAAAAAATTTATCCCAAAACTGTATTTATGTTAAAATTTGGAAATGCGCCTTAATTTGATTACTTAAAGTTGCCTTATGCAAACCACACCTTTTTTTACATGCTGCCTTGAACCCCGGCTCTACCGTATTAATGTGCAGGCCCTAAAGAGGTAAATTTGAGGGAAAAAAAAAAAAAAAGGTATTTTGCATTAATTAGAGGTGTGTCGGTAAGCCAACTGATGAGATAGCGGTGGGAAAGAGTAAAAGGGAATGATCAATTTGATGTGAATGTCATTGAAAATCATTGTAATTAAGAAGTACGCGAAATTATTCTAGCCTAAAAAAATAAATGTTAAATATCTGAATCCTATGTCACCCACCCTAAGGAAAAGTTCCTTGAATTCATTTTCTCATTATAAAGAAGTGAGCCAGGTAGGGTCTAGAGTATACTTGGGGTAATTTTGTACCGTACTTTAAAAATCGGAACCGGGCCCTAGATTGACAAGGTCTGATAACTCTGTGTTTTTCTTGAGTAAGTTGATTCGCCATTGCGCGGCCCTTCGTTTTTTTTTTTTTTATATTCATTTGTTTTTTTGCCCGAACTCTCTTTTCTTCTTCTTCTTTTATTTTGCCTTTTCCTCATTTATTTTACCGATCTTGGGCTGGCCCCATCGAATAAGTGCCGGGCTGGCCGGGCCGGGCCACACTTATTCACCATGTCTGACTCGGTTTTTCCTCAGTCAGTCTATATATTACAAAGAAATGGAATAGAAGAGAACGGGAACAAAAATAAATAAAAACCCCAGAGGGGAAGGGCGCTGGGGAAATTGAAGTGATTTCCAATGTTCGTCAAACAAAATTGGTCACCTACTAATATCAACCAAAATCAGGAGATTTCAATTCGGATCGACAAATTTTCAAACACTTAAAGCTCCCAGGGAACAAAGAGTTAAAAACTTTAGAAATTTAAAAATGTCAATATGATTGCAAAAAAATGATTCCCACCATGTTGGTATTGACCTGTACACTCGATGACAACCAAATGTTCTCTTATCTTTGTTTCCCCATTCACACTATGATAGCACCACCTAACCCAAACTTTTCTGGTAAACACTAGAAAGGGAAATTAGTAGAAAACTGCAATTCAATAATTTAAATTACATAAAAAAAGGTAAATATTAAACAGTTAATCTCTAAAAATTTCCTAAATAAATTTGAGATATATCTATATTACTCAAGAGATCATCTTTCTTGAGGGGGTTAGGATAGGCAGGCCTAACCTAAGTAATAATGGCAGCCAACCGCACATTTATTTAAGGTTAATCAACCAGGGTTATCGTAAAATGAGCATTAATATTTGTTTTCAATTGGTAGGCTTAGCTGGGATTAAAATCTAGGAAGTAGGGGTTCTCTCTCTTTCATCAAATGATACTACATGCAAGCCAACTTGTATACATATAAATTGGCTATACTAATACAAAGTCACAATCATTAAGACATTGATAGGCCCACTTGTATACATATAAATTGGCTATACTAATACAAAGTCACAATGATTAAGACATTGATAGGCCCACTCAGACTAGTCCTAAATCGGCTAATATTGGGACCCTGGCGATTCCGGAGGAAGAATGTCGGAATTGCCTTGAGTCTGGCTATCTTTTTCAATCCCATATTAAAAGGAAAACGTTCATATAAGGCTGCAACTTTAAAATGTAGAATTAAAGATCCACCTCAAAAATCCATCATGGTTATTTGGATGTTAGAAAGCTCTTTAATTGATCATCTTGACATTGAGATACATGCATATGAAAATAAAAAAATATTTCGAGTCCGTGAAATAGTATATCCTGCAACATATTATCTAGACCATCCATTTTCAAGATTTTCATGTGTTTATGGTTCTACTTGATTTGAACCATTTTTAGATTTTAAAATTTTATAATTAGAGATGAAAATAGATTCTCAAGCCATCGTAAGAATTTTTTATATCAAAATTATATTTATGATAAAATTTAGAAGTGCATCTTAATTGAATTGTTTAAGATTGTAACCTATTGCCAACCACACCCTTATTAAAATGTCCCCGAGCCAATTCGGGGTGCACCCAAGCCAAACCCGGCTCATAATCACTACAATCCAAAGACCCTTTGACCTCAATATGCCAGCTTAACTCATACAAAATACAACTTAAGGGGCCCCAAACATGGGTTACAAATGAACTACAACCAAATGAATCTAGCAAGAGTGCCCACCTTTGAAAACCCTAAAATTTTCGGTGCAATTCTCAACAAGAGTGCTCACTTTTGAAAACCCCAATTGCACCTATATTGGTTCTAACTGCATATCTTGGAGTACTAAGAAAAAGTCGACCGTGGCTCATTCTAGTACCGAAGCGAAATAATGCTCTATGGCATCCACTGTTCCATAATTGATATGACTATTTTTTATCGTTCGATAATTGCATTTCGAATGTAACAGCACATAAAAATAAAAAAATTAATCACAATGAAGAAAACATGGACCAATATTCACATCTCCAAAAGGTTCACATAAAACCTTTGCTTGATTCTATTTGCTGGTTTTGCCACCGCAACATAATATGTTAACAAAATGCCCCACATTGCTCTCCTTATATCACAATGACGAAGGACATGAAATCATGGGCTAATATCCAAAAGTGTCCATAAGATTTACATAAAGATTAAATATATCATATTTACCATCTCTGCATTAATCACGGCTGAAGGATGAGTTAACATGCACCCCTGTGGAAGAATATGTGCGTGTGCGCGCGCTATTTTTCCAAACAAAGTGGTTGACAAGA